AATTGATATGATATTTATAATTTGAGGACTTGAACAGATTTGAATGGACGTGTGGTTCAATTAACCATAAAAATGATTTAATAATAATTTTAATATTTAATAATTTGATTATTTAGTAATGATTTTAATATTTAATGATTTGATGATTTAGTAATGATTTTAATATTTAATGATTTGATGATTTAGTAATGATTTAATGATTTGAGGATTTACTAATGATTTTAATATTTAATGATTTGATGATTTAGTAATGATTTTAATATTTAATAATTTGATGATCTAGTAATGATTTGATAATAATGATTTAATAATAATTTTAATATTTGATGATTTGATGATTTAGTAATGATTTTAATATTTAATGATTTAATGATTTGATAATAATGATTTTATTTAATGATTTCAATATTTAATGATTTAGTAATGATTTGATAATAATCATTATAATAATGATTTAGTAATAATCATTATAATAATGATTTAATAATAATGATAATAATGATTTAATAATAATTTCAATATTTAATGATTTGATGATTTAGTAATGATTTGATAATAATCATTATAAAAATGATTTAGTAATAATCATTATAATAATGATTTAATAACAATGATAATAATGATTTAATAATGATTTAGTAATGATTTGATAATAAATCATTATTAATGATTTAATACTAATGATTTAATAATTATTATTAATAATTATGAAATAATAACAAATGAGTTTATAAGTGTGGACTACTCGAATTTAAATTTATACATAGTTGAATTTATTAATGATTTGATACTAATGATTTAATAATTATTATTAATAATGATTTATTATTAATATTTAATTATTTGATACTAATGATTTACTAATGATTACTAGTAATGAAATTATAATAATAATTTGATACTAAAAATCATTATAAACATGTCGAATTTGTTAAGGTTAAAAAAACTAGTATAATTTCAATATATAATTTGTAACAAATAACAAACGAGTTTACAATTGTTGTCGATGTCGGGGTGTTGTTGAATGATAATGTCGGGGCGGACGTCTGATGCGTTATGGTCGTTGCGGTTGCTCAGGAGTATGGTACACATCCTCCTCAATCATTGGGGGTATTTGAACTGCCATGTGTTCAAAGTCATAAGTCGACGAAAATATGGGAGAGTAGATGGGTGCCTCAGGCTGCACAAACTATGGTATGTATGCCGGGACAGTAGAATCATCAAATGCATGATGCAACGATCTCGCATCGCCGAACGGTTGTGGTGCGCTATTATCCACATCGGTCATTTCCGCTTCAGGTTGTTGAGATGAACTCCCACTCGGTAGAGAGTATTCAGCTTTACCAAATCTTTTCTTAAACCTCAAAAACTGTCGTCTCTCTACCATTTTTGTCAAGAATGGCTTTCCATTATCCCAAAAATAAGCAAGGTAAGCCGAAGTCTCAAAATTAAAGTCGTCGTCTTGAATGTCGTCAAGAGTTGGCATGAATGAAGCCCTATTGTTCCAAGCATTAATGTAGGTTGCATGCTTCTCAACCTAATTAACATTTTCTTTACGACGACCATCAAATCTGTGCAGGTAGTCATGTGTCTCAACCCAATTCATCTAACGACGACCATCTAAGTTTTGGAGGAGGTCATGATCCCATGGACTCCGCAGAATAGGTTGGTGGAAGTGGAATTGCCTCAACACTCTATCCCCAAATTGGATCTCAACAAAAGAAAAATTGATCAATGGTGTAACAGCACACCAATATTAAAACCCATCTAAAACATCGTGCGGCACCAACGCCAAAATTTCTTCATTCATGTATGGTATCCAATTAAACTGTAAAATTAAAATAACAATAAAATTGATTTAAATCAAATAATATAGTTAATTTAAATAATAATTAAAAATAACATATTATACATACCTTTTTTGTGGCTTTAATATCGATCTTCAGCCTAAACTCTTTAATGTTGTTATGCACCAACCCCGTGCCTTCAATTTTATGTCTCCATCTGTATATCAATCAAAACAAAAATATGGTAATTTTGTTCAATAATTTTAATCAAAATAAATATTTTATAATTAATATTTTATATTAAAATAGAGGATTCATGTTACCTTTTAACAAGTGGAAAGTCAACCGTAGTCCGACTAATCGGTGTCAAAAACGGAAGTCTATGTCAAGCCCATGATTGTAGCAGCAATAGACATCCACCGATTTCTGCTGTATTATTATCATTCACGACTAATGACGCCTTGCACATCTCACGATACAAGAACACCAATATCGCCGATCCCCAGCTATATTGCCTACTATTCTCAAAATTTCTTAAAAAAAGAAGATATTGAGTGTGAACATAACTACCGGATTTATCCGGCATCAAAATTCCTCCAATCAATTGCAATATATATGCTCATGTTGCATATATAATTTCGTACTCTGTATTGTTTGGTTAAAATTGAAATTCATTCTTAAACCATGACAACCTCACACGCCACCCTTTACACTCTGGTAGTACGGGCGTTTTCCCAAGAAACAAACTGGAAAGTTGTGCCACATTAGTAAACTCATGTGTCATTACCACCGGCATCCCATTAGTTTGGACTCCTAGTTGCATTGTCACATCCTCCAGAGTAATCGTACATTCGCCACACGGCAAATGAAACGTGTGCGTTTCTGGTCTCCAACGTTCAATTAACGCACTGATCAAACCTGAGACCAACTTGTAATCTCGCACAAATGTTACATACCAAAATCCAGCCTCTTGCAAGTTTTCTTATATCAATCGGTGTGGTTTGGGCACTTTATGTAGCCGAAGACGAAGGACTCGCTGCTCGTCCTCCTGCAATTAAATAATGCAAAAAATTTATCACAATCATAAAATAATATTAAAATATTTATTAATAATAATTTATTAAACAAATATTTTATTCACAATTATTCCCAAATGACTTGAAATATGTTCATTGTCAAGTATCAACAGTGGAATTTGGTCAGCCATTCGAATGAATCTGTAAAAAAATTAAACAACAGTATTTAAAAAATCATTTAATATAATCTAATGTTAAGTAATTAACTAACTAACTAACTAATTTACAACACAACAAAAAAATTTAATATAATAACTTATAATATAATAAACTTATAAAGTAACAAACTAAATTTTTTAAAATATAACTTAAACGTGAATTTTCCCTTAAACAACTAATAAACTATTCTTTAATATAACTTCAACTAATAAACTATTCTTTAATATAGCTTCAACTAATAAACTATTCTTTAATATAACTTAAACTAATAAATGATTTTTTAATTATAATTTACTACTAAAAAATTAATTAACTGAATTTTTATATAATATAAATTCAACAAATCATATGGCAACTTAACTATTTAACTAACACAAACTAATTACATATTTTTTTATATATAACTAACGACTAACAAACTAACTAATTAAGTAAATTTTTTTACCCTAAACCCTAACCCTAAACTAACAAACTAATAATTTAAATTAATAAACTAATTTAAATTAAATAAAATGAAAATTTACCTCAATGTTTGCTTGTCGTACTCCCTTCTTATTCCTCCTCTTATTTCTTTCCTTTCTCTCGGCACTCTTCTCCCTTTCTTTCTTATGCTTCCTTAAACCCATATCATACCCCCTATATATTAAAGAGGGTCGGCTGCTTCAATTCATCCACCAATAATTGAAGAATCACGAGCCGTTGATTCTCATGGATTACAGCAATAATTGTTGCATGAAGCAACAAATGATGCTGCATGAAGCAACGAAAATTATGTTGCAATAATGCAGCGAATAAAGGTGCATGGAGCAGCGGGGAGCAGACGAGCATGCAGCGGGGAGCAGGCGAGCATGCAGTGAGGAGCAGGCACGCAGGAATCTTGTGGGGACAAGGTCGCCCAGCGTGCATGGCGACCTACCATGTCGCCCAGCGTGCATGGCGACCTACCCTTGCTCGCTCGCTCAGATGCCCTCGCATAACTCGCTCGGATGGCCTTGGATGCCCAGCATGTTGGGACGTGCATGGCACATGCAATCTCTCGTAGCTCGCCGAGAAGATATGGCGACCTAGTAGGTCGCCCGAAAGGCATGGCGACTTACGGCTAACACTGTGGATTTCACCCTATTTGAGCAATTAATCTGAGGAGTGAATTATCTCGTGAATTAATTTCTTCCAGAATATTATCTCGAAAGTTTTGCCCAATAAGACAGAAACATCATTAAGTGAGTCTCAATAGGATCACTCGATTACAATAAATAATGTAGGGTAGGTAAGACTTGAATTTATATTAGATCTAGAATTATAATTTTTTTGTATACATTACTTTAAAAAGTAGAGTTTCTAAACTTTTATACAATTATTTTTACTTGAGTATTTTATTTCATTTAAATCATCAATTCAAATGTAATAATTATAAACTCGTTAGATTTGTAATTTTTATGATTATTTACTACAAAAATCATGTATATTTTAATTTAAAATCCTAAAGTTTAAGCATTATCCCTGAAACATAAAACTTAAATTCTAAATCATAAAAATTAAAATCTTAAACACTTGTGTAAACTAAAATTAATTAGATGAACTAATAATTTTAAAAAACAAAAGTTTCTTTCATATTTCATATATTCTATAGTTCATTGAAAGTTCTAAAAATATGTACATTTATAACTTCTTATTAATAATAAATTTAAAATAATAAAAGAAGTTAAAAACATATATTAGAAAAATAAATAATTAACAGTTTTAATGAGACGAAATAAATAAAACATGAACACAACGCAAATAAAATGTGAAAAGACCAGACACCAGTCATTACAAAACCATTTTAACCAAGTCAAATTGTTTATCAATTAATTGCTTGCAAATTTACAGGCGGACATGGCCGAACTTAACGTCTATTATGTCTTCCTTCACCAGCAGTTTCCTAAAGAGTCAAAAATACACACTAAAAGCTATAATGAAACGTGTTAAGGATAAAAGAAAGGCCCTTTGATTCTTCCAGGAAACTTTTAGCAGATGCACAAGATAAAGAGATAAATATCAAGGGTCCCTCAACTCTTCCTTTCCTTTAGAGGTCATTAAAAAGAGCCCCTCTAAAGTTAACTTTGTTCCTTCTCCATGTGCACAAGGTTAGTCCTACACAGACATTTTTCCGAAAAGAAAAAGATGAGAAAAGAACAAAACATGGGAGGGAGGTTCCTTCTCAAATTATCAGCAATTGCATTACTTATACCTTATTAATGAACCAATTAATCAATGAAGAAACAGATCATGATGTCCATTGATCAGGTACCGTGAGAAAATATGTCGTCATAGCCTTCCGGAATCTTTTCTTGTATTGTTTAGGAGAAATAATTGTTGGGGATGCATTCTTTGGCCCACCCAGTATCCCAGATGCTTTAACCCATGTCTCCAAGTGTTTGTCCCAGGTATATTGCCTCATGAAATCAATAATTCCCAGAACAAGCTCTTTCCGCTCCTCATCCACTCCGACCAACAATGAATAGTCCATGACCGCAACAGACTGAAAATCACAGAATACAACATTCAAAACCATTGTTTCCATAATCGAAATACAAATTGGAAAACCAACCAAAACTCCAATGGACGGTCAACTTGGAAACCATTGTTCAAGTTTATGTTAAAAGCAACTTACTGCCAAAAAAGCTGTGTCGTTCCAAATAGCTCTCTCGAGACTTCTCTTTGCCTTGCTTCCAAGAAAAATAGGCTCTGTTCGCAATGTTTCTAACAGATTCATGTCTAGCAGTACTTTGTTGCTCCCTGTTGTATCTGGATTATATCGTGATCTTGCAGAGCCCTTGAGATCATATATCCTAGATATGTTTCTTCTGAAAAATAGGTTCTCCATCACCACAAGATCCATTTTTGTTTCTTTTCCACCTTTCAGGTGTTTTACAGAGACCTATCATCAGGCCAGCCAAAAGATATTAAAATTAAAATGATATATTGGATACTCCAACTGGATGTGCACAGAAACAGAGTTTAGGAAAGGAAAAGAGGACAAACCTGAAAAATACCAAGAACTTTAGCAAGGCAAGTTGGGCTTCCCAAACTAAGAGAATCTGTCAAATACTTGAAGTATTCGGGTGCAAATTCATAAAAGGATTCCAGCTCTGTTTTCTGAACTTGCTTTATAACGAGTCTTTCATCTAAAGATTTGGCAAAATACACATTGCTCTTCCCCCCTTGTGCACTCCATTTCTGGCAGCGGCTCAAGGAACGCAAAAAGTCGATGTCAGTAGGGCAACACTTTCTTCTAAGAGAATTAAACTGTTTTGCAAAATAACATGTCACAGAAAACTTCACTTTGCCACCAGCAGCAGAAGAATCATCTCCAAAAGAAACTGTTAAATGGGGAGACCTTTTCATATCAGGAAACATATCACCCATAGATGATTGGGTATCTTCAGAACCAAAACTTGCATAATGTGCATAACCCAGGTCAAGAGAACCAAATGACTGCCAGGGTGAAAAGCTGGAAGCTGCAGAATCTTCTTTGCTCCTGTCACCGACATTCCAACCTCCTCCAATTCCATTGGAATTATCAGCAACCCATTCAACATATTCTTTGGAACTAAGAGCATATGATATTATACTTGCAGGATCATCATCATAAATGGCAATAACATTATCACTATGGCCCCTCTGCACAAGAAGTAGCCGAGCCCCTTCAGCAACACGAGATGCAGAGGTGAGTAAAGCAGGTGTGGAACTGAGTAACAGATTCAACTTTTGTGCCTCTAGTGGCAATGTATAGGAGTGAGTCGTTGTTACATTAGAAATAGGATCCCTCACCATGGTCCTATAATCTCCAGAAGCATGGAAAGATCTAAGAGTCGAGAAATGCGATGATGAGGGGTGCAATCCCTTCTGAATTCTTGCTTGGAGTCTCAACACAGAATCAAAAGAATGAACCCTCATTGGTGCAGCAACCTTCCTCAAAGGAAGGTTATACATTTTACTTATTGGCCTGATCAAACCAGCTTGAAGCTCATCTCCCCGAGATGCCTCTGAAGGTTTAACTTTCAACATTAGTGGATCGGTACCTGTCCAAGCAGAATCTATTGTCTCAGATAAAGTAGATGCAGGGGAATGGATTCTTTCATCCGGATGTCCATTCTCTTCTCTCTTTTCAGGCACATTGGATTCCAAGGATAGTGAACTAGAGTTCTGCTCCAGCTGTGCGTTGCTCTTACGAGGTTCCACTGAATCTGAGGATCTGCAGGTGTTTTCTTCATGAGCACCAAGATTTCCATCCTCAAAGAGATCAACTTCAGCTTTGAAAGCAAAATTTTTCCCAGGAGAAGTGTCCAATGAATTAAGTTGCTGATCCCATACATGCAAACTTATAAGAAGTGAACGTCTTATGCGATTCAGTTCTAGTAAGTCCACGGCGGCTGGACCAAGGTTTGACGTCTCCATAATAACTGGTTGTAACAAACCCTATAAAAAAAACCTAGTCAACAAATGATAAAATTCATCTTTCAATAATATAGGACAAATTAGGCATACAAAATATTATGTACATGCAACTAAGAAATACTCAAGGTCATACCGATAACGAAATAACTAATATTCAGTGTGCTTACATTGTAATCATTTCTCTCCTTTCGAATCTGATCTCTCAGTTCCATAACGTGATTTGATAACTCACTTGCATCTGATGATTTACTCTTCAATTCAATGTTGTCAAGTGCATCAGATATCTCCGTATACAACATTTCCATTTTGACCATTAGCTATAAGAGACAAAGCGGTTAGTTTAGAATATGTGGATTTCACTGGCATTAGAACAGAAGGGAAATAGATAACAAACCTCGGCTGCCTCTCTTCTAATCCACTCCTGGTGAACATCTCCCCCAAATTCAAGCATGGATGGGGGCAAATGCACCGATAGTATATCAATTGGGGAATAGCGGAAGAATGCAACCATGTTTCCAAATCTGTGAAATCATACTCATAGGTATCAGCATCATAATTAAAACTTAACCATAAAAAAGGATTAAAATTTACACCATTTACCCATAGAAACGAAGGCAATCCCTCTGCAATGAATGACCACAAGTTGCAACACGATTAGCAGTTGCATGATTTGAAAAACTAAGCTCCAAAAACTTTCCAAAAGAAAGTCCCCAAGCAGCATCAGACATAACCACTCTATGAGTTGCTGGAGGAACCCCATCTATATGAGCACACCTCAGGCATCGATGCCACATCCATATCTTACCATCCCGTTCACCAGGTAACTTAAGAGAGGAATGGCACCTTATGTTGATTGTCAAATTTCCCTGCTGGTGCGTATAGCATATGACATGGGCTTCAGCTGGCTCATTACATGACCTGCAGCAAGAAGCCTGCAAAGAGAGCATGCTAAATTATAATGAATCATAGAAAAAGTATTTCTCAAATTTCAACTGAAGAAACCAAAAGTCATAAATGAGTTACTTGATCAAACAGGTCATCTTGAAGGTATCTTCCCAGTGGTTTATCAAATGATCCATAGAACTTTATTCGCAAGAGCCGTGAACGTTCGCACACAGTACCTTTCAGCACACACCGACTTGAGATGGAAACCAAGATACTCTGGTGTGTGTCAGCTGCTGAATAATATTCACTGGAAGCTTCATCTTCTTGAATTTTTTCAGATTTTTCCAATTCATTAATCTCGTCAAGATGCCTCTCATCTTCAGTCGTGGTTTCTAGCAACTCTGATCGGGGAAAATCTCTAATATCACAGGGTAACATAGTAGACATATTTAAATCCTTCATTTGTTCTAAAGAACACAAGCCCATACCCACAATAGGTGTCAAATCATCATTGCATGCATCAAGAACAGAACCACCTGAAGAAGGGAAGAAATGGCTTTGATCACCCTGATCAAGCCATGATTCCAATCCTCCTTGCTCCGGATTGAGACTCAGAGATGAGTCATTTAGAGCAGAAGCATTGACTATTGTATTCAAACTGGATTGACTATTACCAATCTGCATTTCCTCTGGCCCAGCGATTGAATGTTTTATCTTCGTCTTAGGAAGAGTAGCACCTTCATCAGCAAGGAAAGAAGTTTCAAGAGATAAGTGATAGGCGGCAAAAACAGCATACTGGACAACATGTTTAACCTTCATTAGCTCTTCACGAGATCTACCCCTCAGAAGGACCTATAAAGAGAAATAAAGCAATTTGATTAAAAACAATCATGCTAAACACATTATGAAATTCGAACAATATCTAATATAGTGCACTAAATACAGGTTAATAAATGCTTGCCAAAAACAAAGATTGCCCTTTCAATTTCATTTGACATGCCAATTATACAGATATTTACAAGCCCAATTCTATTTTACCATTCAAATGAGCAAATAAATTACTCCTCAACAGCCTATAAGGATCAGAAAAAAGGGAAAAACACCACGGAACTAAATCACATCTAATCTTCCAATACACTTCAGTTTCTGCACTGAACACAACAATAAAACTTCTAGGTAAAGGTGGCAAAACAACTCGGATATAATCAAACCAAACAAATTAGCATACAAACGCATGCATAAATGGAGTGAGGGAAAGGCATAAAAGCATTTATTAGAAGAAAAAGGAGGCATGGGGCCAACTATTGTTGCGATAGAAAAGGAAGACAATCTTAAACGAGGAAATTTGGTCAGGCATCAATTAAAGATGTTTCCGCCACATAAAGAAACAAAAAAAACAAATTAATCGAAACAATGGAAACACACCAGTGCTCCAAGAATGGAAACAACTAAAGCATCAAAATGCTCGAAACTCAAATATGTGGAGACCCAGTGTATACCATCTCATAACAACAAAAGAAGATGGAGGCTTACAAGGCTCAAATTTCAAAACTTCCCAAATGACACAGTAAATAAATCATATGAATGGATAGAAAATATTACCGTGCAACCTAAGCGCCTGGGACAACCATCAAAGAACATCAGTGTTTTCGATGGTTTCTTGTTTAACTGATTGGACGTCTCATGTTCTTCAGATACTTTCTCCACACGGAACAGTTCGCAGTGTCCCAATCGTGTGGTAGATAAATTATCAATTGATTCACAAACAAGACCACCACTGCACCTTGCTATACGATCTAGTAATGGCCTTTTCACATTGAGCACTAATGATATTTCCTTTGCAAGTAGATACTCTTGTGCATATGAAGAAACACTCTTTTCAACAAGCAAAACATTAGGGCGAAGAGCCTCGATCTTTGCAATCATCATCTTGAGATGATCATTTTCCTGTCAAATCACAAACAATTGTAACACGACAATGCAAATGCGATTGTTAATCACAGAAAAACCTTTAATCGACCTGCATAAATGGAACAAGTTTTTTGAACAAACCTGTTGAAGTAATGTATTAAATGATGCCAGTTGATTTGGAACTTTTTGAAATTCAAGGGCACCTCCTAAAAGAAGTAATCTAGGATTTTTGTACTGTGAGATCATGCGCTTGTGTCTTATGTTTTTCGTGCAAACCACTCCCTTGACAAGAGTGCTGTGAGAATGATATAATTCACAAGTTCAGGACATGTAAAATAAGAATTGAAACCGGAAAAACAATAGAAAATTTTGAATTTCAAACAACTGAAGAAAATTAAAACAGGCCATACCTTTCACTGGGAGATCCTGATGCTATACACTTAACCTTCACATAGTCCCCAGGATCCATGCTGCCTCCTCTGCTAGTATTTGGTTTCACAAAATTTGCAGCTTGCCATGCTATTGTAGCTATAATGTCAAGCCAGTCCCCAACATTATCTTCTTTACCATCTTTAATACCCTCACCCAGTAAAAGTTGAGAGACCAGAGCCCTAAAATGCCCATGTATTGCAGCTTTGAGAGGTTCCTTGTTCCCCTCATTTTGTTTCTCCCTTGCTGGGAACACACTTGAAAGGCTACTACTTGAAGAGAACATAGCACCAGAATCCCCAATTTCATCATCTTCATCATCATATGCAAAGAAGTTACTCTCTGCCTCATCATTCTCATCCTCAGGTGGTGGTGGAAACCATATTAGACCATTGTTTTCAAAATCCAAAGGTTTATGTGACTTTACATATTGATTACGATGTATAGGATCATCAGAGTAAACAACAATATTCTCCTGTTCCTCATTCCCTAACTCTGGCTTTCTTAAAGCAACCCTCTTTTTTTGATAAAAGGGACCAACATCCTGAGCCATTGGGCTCCCTTCTGGCCTCTTCTGTACAGAAATCCCAACCCTATAAGGAGTAAAATTGCTCCTAGAGGGACTAACTGAAGGACTTGATCCTGCCGACTTAAAACTATAAGACTCGAGTCTAGCACTAATACTATTTGAATCTATATCTGAAACATCCTGGCAATAGTCAGTTGAATGGCTCAAAAAATGCTTACCAGAATCATCAGCATCTTCTTCATCACTCCTACACCAGTAAATACACAAATAAGAACATTCACCGCCAGGGGAAAGATTATGAAAGCCGAAAGTCAACAAACAACCAACTTCAGGAAGCTTGGGGTCTAAATTCTAATATGATACAATATAAAAGGATAACATTTCAGCATAACTATTGCCATGTAAATCACTATATATACCATGTACCAAAAAAAAAAATCACTATATATACCTGCAGGGAGATTGCCGAATAGATACAGAAGAAGGATGAGTACTAAATGAAATACTCTGGCTAGTTACCGACTGCATAGAAAGCCCACAATCACAAGCTTCGCTATTCAAAGAACAGGGTGATGGCGGATCCGAGATCTCCTGGAGAGACTTAGAAGGATGCACTTTCTCACAATACTTTCTTCCACCACTTTCTCGCCTCTCGCTAACCCCATCACAACAAAAATTGCAAAACTTAGTACTCATCATCCTAGAAAATTCATTACCCTTCATGTTATATGATTTGTATCTTTCAACACATTTAGAACACAGCCAACGACCACAGCTTCGGCAATGGTATCGATTAGAGAATTCATTGAATAACTCCATATCACATTCACAATAACTATTTTTTCTGCAAACACCCTTTTTCAGCAACCCAAATTCGTCACCAGTAAAACTGGAAAGATAATTTTCTTCCCAAGAAAACCAAGACCTAACTTTTCTTATTAGATCAAGTAATGGGGTATTTGGTATTCCCATAAGAATCCCAAACAAAACACTGAAGTATTATCACCCTGTTTCCCCTTTTTATTCTTCTTCTGAATCGTTATTTAGGGAAACAAAAATCTTTTTGACGTGAAAATATTGAAAACATAGAAAGAACCCAACAAGAAAAAATGGAGGGTTTTAATTGATATTTAGGGTATGAGTAATGACTTTTTTTCTTCCACTGTCTTCTATCAAACTTTTAATCGAAGGACATAAAACTAAAAATCCTCCAAGGAATCACAAAATATTTTCAAGGAGGAAACTAAAACAAAATCTTCCCGGAAAACTAATCATAAAAACAATATTTACACATAAAAAACAACAATATCAATAATAAAACAAAATATTTCCCTAGTCACGAATTCAAAAACAAAAGTATAAACCCTAAAATTTAAAAATACAACAGAAATTTGACCCCGAAAAAAAACCCAAAAGAATTTAAAATTTGTCAGAACTTAACCATCCCCGGATTCATCAAGAATGCATCCACAGATTGATTCAAGCACCGTGACATATATGGGTTTTAGCTCTTCAAACCAAATCCAAAAATAACAAAAAGTTAAATCAATGTGAAGAACACGAAGAAAGAAGAAGAAATGTTAATAGTAAACAATTAAGTAGAACCCAAAAAAAGCTTTTCAGTGTTTTAAGTGAAGGTTAAAATTAGATGCGAGGCAAAATGAGAATCAAAAGGAGGAAAAGGAGGAGTACGGAGAAATTTCCTTTTCTACCGGAATCAGCAAGCATTCCCATCGACCCTAAACTCTCTGTCGCACCGTCAACAAAGCTTCTCTTCCTTTTTCACTCACTGCTACTAGCCTACTACTATTTCCGCTGCCATTTCCCTCCCTTGTTATAAATTTCTCAGCTCTCTTCTCTGCGGTTGCCTTCCTTATTCCCTCTCTCAATTCTATAGAATATTTTTGCTTCCCTCTCTTTCTCTCTTCCTTAGATTAGAAGGACCAGCAAGTAGGGGCTCCAATAAATAAATAAAGTAAAACCAGTAGGGGTAATAAATAAAGGAGATTCCATTTTCCTACCTCCGTGTAATACACACTCCTTTGACAATATCCAGAGGTATTCCGTATTCGACCATTCATCTGGGTCAGGCCGCCGGATATCTTTTGACCCGACTTCCCTCGTTTACTAATAAAGAAAATTAAAACATTAGAGTTCATACATTAAAAATTAATATAATTTAAGCACAAATATCTTTAGACTTAACTTTAATTAAAACCTCCTAAATATCATTCATTGATAAAGGGATACTGTATTAAATTTATACACGACTAAAAACATAATATAAATTAAGTTATTTTATATTAAAATTATTATTTATTTTGCTTTTTTTAAGAATATATATCAAATTGTATTAGTCATGAAGAGCATCATTTAGAGCAATATCATAAATGATGATTATTCCACACTTAATGAGCAAAGATGAGCACAACTAATGATGAGCATCGATAAATTAATTTATAAAACGTTAAAATTCTAAAGGATAATTTTAAATTAGTTGAAAATTTAAAGGTAGATTATTATACCAGTGACTACCTAACTATTGCTCATTTTTATTTTGACCATTATTTTTGAAATTTTGTCAATCATGTCACTCAAGTATTATTCAAATGCATTCAATAAAACCACTTGTCGTTAATATTTAACGAAAAAGTTGATGTGGTAGTTAAAATATTTGATATAATTACACATTTAATCATTATTTCTTATATATTCTATCAATTTTGGTCCTAATTTTAATAAATTAAAATAAATTCAACCCTTAAATATGCCAAAGTAGTTAATTAGAGAGGAATCCAATTTAATGTCAGCCATTACAAATTTTATTTTCTCTTTATCAACCTTTATTATTCCTAATAATAAAATAAAATAAACATGTCAATGTTTTATGATGAGACGTATCAGTATTTCTCAATGTTCTTTGTTTTTTTAACTTAAAAGACTATATTTTACATTGATACACGCAAGACAATTAATGTGACAAATTCATGTGTTTAAATTATATCTTTCAATGATTTTAGGAGTTTAAATTAGATGTTTTATTTTATTTTATAATTACTTTTAGACCGTTTGTTTAAAAATATTTATTTTTTTTTACTCAGCTATCCAAGTATTATAACTTTACTTTTACCTAATTTGTCTCATTATAAGAAAAATCTAATTGTTTTGGATTAATTTTTAAGAGTTTAAATTTTGATTTTACTTAATATAGATGTATTTTTGAAATCAAAGCATTTGATATTTAATTTTTTAAATTTTTCAAAAATGAAATCAATTTTTTTTGTAAGTTTTCTTTTCTTTTATTTCTTGTTTGTTTTCCTACAAATTGAAATAATAAGATGAATAAAGACTACTTTGGCACCATTTGATTTGAGGGTTAAGTTTATTTTAATTTATTAAAATTAAGACCAAATTGATAAAATATATAAGTAATGTGGACCAAATGTGTAATAATATCAAATATTTTAATTATTACATCAGCTTTTTCCTTAAATATTAACGACAAGTGGTTAAATTGAATGCACTTAAATAATTGAGTGACATGATTGATAAAATTTTAAAAATAGTGGATAAAATAAAAAGGGGCAATAATTAGGTGGTCATTGGTATAATTTACCTTTTATTTTAAATAATTTACCTTTAAATTTTCAACTAGTTTATAATTAATCGTTGAGTCGTTTAGAATTTTTAATTTTTTTATAAATTAAATTAATGATGCTCATCGTTAGTGGTGTTCATTGGTACTCATCGAGTGTTGTAGAATTTTCCTATCATAAATAAAATATGATGGTAAACGACTAGTGACAACCTCATGAGCAAAAGCAAATCTGAAAATCTAGAAAGTATTTAAAGAAGACAAATAAAAATTCATTTTTTCTTTAACTGTAGTCTCATCTTATCATCACGAGAAGAATCAGTGAAGAATAAAAAAATACTCATCAAAAAGAAATCGTAATCAAGATAAAGGAAAACATGACCAAATGACGAAATTCCGAGAAGAATGATATCAAGAATACTCATGAACGGAGCCAAAATTAAATATTGACGGGGGGCAAAATATTAGACTATTTAAGAAAAATGTAAAGATTTATTAGATATTTAAACTCAAAATTCAGCATGAACAAGTGACCTTAGTGATTAAGGGGATTGTCGTTATCCTTGAGGTCTTGTAACATCCTCAATACCGGGTTAGTGACTAAATTGTAAAATTTTAGAATTTGGTGATTAAAGTAGAATAGTTCAATGATTTATTTGGGGATATTTCCTGAAAGTTGTTAGTAATTATCCAAGGAACTAAAGGGCAAAATTGTCATTTGACAAGAAATATATTTCCCCCCTTATATGAATGAATCACGTGGGGGGAAGAAGTATCTTCTTCTTTCTCTTATCCATCTTCTTCTCCCCGTTGAAGCTAGGCAAAGGTAAAAGTTTCTTTGTTTGTTGATTATTTGTTAATTTAAAGTTTGAGTTTTGATCATTAGATGATAACTAAGCTTAAGTTATCTTAAAATCAAAAGATAAATGAATTAGAGAAGATTAAAGATTTGGAGTTATTGAGTGAAATCTTGAAATAAAGTTGATAAGTTGAATTTGAAGTTAAATTTGACTTGTCATCAGCTTAATTAAGAAGTATTAAGTGTTAGAATTGGATTTGAAACATGTTAAAAATTGGGTATGATTATTGAAGTTCATAAAGAGGAGAAGATTTTGAGGTTTAAGATGAGATAAATTAGTAGAAATTAGTTTAAGTATGTATATTTGAGTTAAGAATATGAAAGGGAATGAAACATGAAGAATTGAAGTTGATATAGTGAATTTTCGTGCATGAACAGTGATTTCTGGGTAAAATTTACAGATTTTTATAAGGGTACTGATACCCTAAGGGGAGGTACTGATACCCCCTAAAGGAAAAAAGTGAATATGGGTCTATTAAATTCGTTTAGGCTATTAATATCAAATTACAAGGTGTAGATAACTGATAATTACCTTAAAATGTATGGTTATGCAGACATAGAACGTGAACAAGTTCCGGAACAATCAAAGAATTAGGATCGAATCAAAGCAAGGCTAAGGTGAGTGCAATTTTATTGTACTTATGCTATCGAACAAGCATTGGCTTGCGATGAGACAGTGACAGAGTTATTATGGTAAGAAGTAATTTCTAAAATGTTAGTGTGATTGTGAATAGGTAGAAAGGAAACAAATGATGATATAAGAATCTATTATAAGATATATGATATGAAAATATGATAGTGAGTTATGTGAAAGAACTATGAGATATATGAGCTTGTATGTGCTATGTGATGTATATATATGGGAAATATATGTGAACAAAATATGATATATATGTTTATGTGAAACCATGCAAAGTGATATGAGCTATGTGACATATGAATATGAAATCATATGAAAAGTGACATGAATTACTTGAAAGTAAACTACGTGATTATATGCACATGTGATATGTGACAGAAAAGAAGAAATATGTGATTAGAAGAGAAATGATATAAATAAGTGACGTGAATATATGAACTGTTATAAATGATATTGCCCATGATATGTGATATGAGAGCTAGGGGTATAGTTGGCATGCCAAGAGTCGAGGGTTTACCTATGTTCTTCTGGACATATGGACAATTTACTTATTTTCTATGGAACATATGGACAGTTTACCTAGGTTCTTCGGGACCTATGGACAGTTGCCGAGGTTCTTTATGACCTCTGGATAGGTCATTCGGGACATTTATACGAGTTGTGGTTACAACATAGTTGTGCACAACCTCAGTGTACTCACATACCTTAAGTTCTCAACAGTGTACATGGGCTAATAAAGAAATTTAATAAGTATATTGAATATGATATGTATATGTGATTGGTTATATGGAATAGATCACATTATTTATGTAATGGTGTATTGCTTGGTTAATGCATGACATGTTATGTATAAGGGTGTTAAATTATAAGGATTAATGATAGTATTTGCAGATCTATGCCTTTTGTTTATATGAAATGTTATATGGTCATATTATATGTTTTATATGCCTCACTAAGTCATTGACTTAGCGTGTGATTGTTTCACACGTAGGTTTGGAAAGCGAAAAGAGAAGTAAAGAGGAACAAGACATGTCAGTTCTCCTTACTGAAGATCATATCAGAAATGTAGATCGAATTACATGTATTTTGTTAGATATAATTTAGTTGGCATGTAATAAAAATGATTTTTATGGGATATGCTCTGATCGAATTTTGGAATGTTTTAAACGTATATATGTAAAAGGTAAATGTATAATGATGAATGTTGTAAATTTTATGAGTTTTATACATGTTTTGCCGAGGTACTGTAGCAGTACTATAGCAGGGTATCGGTACCCTGTAA